CTGTTATTACATGGTCATAATTATACACGTACAATGTATATATATCTGTGTGCACCTTTTTGATTGAAATAAAGTTGATATTATTTTCACATTTACGTTGTGTATATTCTTTTGAGTTGTACAAATATTCGTTGTATTTATATCTGTGGTCCCATAGAAACCATGAAAACAACGAAAGTTTATACATACGAACATTTTATTTTATACAGTACACCAAAGTAATTCGTCCGTCTATTGAACCTTGGAAGTGGTATGCTTTTGACGTTTAATGATATATTAATGCATAAAAGTGGTTCGTGGTCCGTCTACTGAACCTTGGAAGTGGTATAAGTTCGATTTTAGACAACACTTTAATGGTTTATGGTAGAAGTCGTAAACGTTTGATATCATGTGACAAATAATTCACAAAAGTAATTCATTGTCCGTCAACTGAACCATGGGGGTAGTAACGGTTCGATGTTCGGCGATATATCAATACACTAAAGTAGTTCATTGTCTGTCAACTGAATCTTGGAGGTGGTGATGCACACAAGTGGTTCATGGTCCGTCAACTGAATCTCCGAGATGATATGTATCAGATGTTAGTCGATTATGTTTCCGTATCAATGCTGCTAGACAGAACAGACATACGGCCACGCCGTGGGAGGCTGCAGCACTGTAGTATGCCACCGTGTAAGTACCCGTCAGGTCGAGTAGCCAGCCTGTAATGTAAGTAAAGGATTGAATAATAGAAAAGGTAAACAAGCATTTATGGCCGTTATATAGTACTTTCGTATAGAGTACAAATGTTTTATGTTTTAAATTAGCTCACCTAACTTGTAACGGTTACGGTAGGCTGTCCTCCAATGATACATGTGTTAAACATCTAATTGTATTCTTTCATTCAACAGGAAAGTCAATAACAACACATTACTTTCGATTTTACTTTCTAATTAGAGTATCTAGAACATTATGGACCCTCAGGTTTCAACTATTACGAAGAAGAGACCATGGACCGGACAAACTTAGCATATTTTTTTGTGTTGAATATCCGTTATCAAATACTAATCTAACAAATGTGAAACATCAGATTTTTCTGTCATCTATAAAAATAATATATAGTGACAAGTAAGAAAGAAGAA